AGAATCAACCAATGAGTACAAGAGTAAGTGGAATAACAAGTCAATGTTTCGCTCTCTCTCGCTCTCTCACTCTAAAATTAGTCAATGAATCTTTTTTAAAAAAGACTTTAAATAGAGTGCTCAGCAGTGCTTTTGATTTAAGTAAGGGATCGATAAAATTTGGATATTGTTAGCAGAGGTAATAAATGATAGAACTTGAACTTGAAGAAAGAGTAGGTTTTTTCCAAGAGATAAGGGAGAAAGATTCTAAGGAGAAAGAACAGACACAAAAGACTTAGAGGCCTGTTTCTGCAACATTCTTTCTGTCTGTCTTGTTGTAGTAGGTGAGGTTTTTTTTCCCTTGGGAAATTGTAAATCTTTTTTGACACCCTCTTCTTTCTCCTGCACCTTCCTCCTCTGTCCTCCAGTTCAACACACTCACAAAGGCAGTTTGATTTTTTTCAGCTTTATACTCTCAAAAGCATGCACCTGGTCCTGTACTCAATCATGAACTTGGCTCCTCAGAGCAATGACACTCATTACTTGTCTTCTATTTCCCTCTTCACTCGTCCATCCTACCCTCTCGTTGTTGGGGAAAGGCTTTGTCCAACATTTTTTGTTTAAGAGGATTAATTGCTACCCCCCAGTGCCTGTCAGGTCCTTTCAGGGGACTTCATGCAAATAAGGTTCCAGGTGGCCTGGCCTGATTTCCCAGAGTTCCCCAAAAGGGTAACATCCTATTAGGACATTAACTGCAAATAACATTTAGTGAGCCTCACCCCCTTTCAGTTTTGGAGAAGTTATTGGACTTGCACAAAAGTAGCCAGTTAATAACAGAACTGACCCTTTTCAGTGTCTTCCTATGTTTTGTTGCAAAGGGCTTTCTTCTCAGTGTTATATCAATGATCACAGTGCCTCCCTTTTTAGAAAGTAACTACTATTTTGAGTATATGAAACCTAGCCAGACTTTGAATTTGAATTCATTCATTCATTTATTCCTCTGCACATGCTTACTGAGTATTTGCTTAGTGTAGGGTACTCAGCCACAAGTAGAGGATTTGAGGTTGAACAAGGCAAGCATTGTCCCTACTCTCACAGAACTGACAGTCTAGCAGAGGAGGAAATTAAAATAATTCCCAAGGCCAGTAGCAAAGGAAGCACAAGCAAAGCTTCTCTGAGGAAGTTCCTGTGAAGTAGACACCAAAACAATAGGGAGAATAAGCTACATAATGGAATGGGGACAGAGAAGTGATAAAATGAGATTTGAAATATTTTTCAAACCATGTTAACAACAGACATGTGTAAGATTGTGTGGTTATTAAACATACATCCCTTTGTAGCTCTCCAATCTCTGCCCCAGGTCTTTCCACCAAGCACCCTATCTCTGCTCCTTTCTCAGAACAACCTCTATTTTATTCTGTACAACTCTTGTTTTATGGATGTTTATTATATTGTTAGGGTATTAGTACACTCTTGGGATTGTGCTGGAGACAGAGCCTTTCTAGATGTAGGAGTGACCTGATTATTGTGTTGATTATTTGGAAAGAGATCTCTCAGATCAGATCCTGGAGCTCAGAGGGATGTGAGGGGGTTGCTAAGTGGAATTTGGCTTCTCTTGGTCTTGATTCTCAAAGATGAAATATGCATAGAAATCAAGCAAGGGGTTATAACAGTGTTTAAAAATTTTTTTTGACTGAGATCCAGCATAAGAAATACATTAAAAAAGCAACCCAGAGTGCTCACACATTACAAAAATGCTAGTTTCCCAAAATTTTTGTTTTGTAAATAATTACCCTTATTACATGAGATTCAATCTGATCTTTCATATTTTGGATTCTGATTAGTGTTTTTCAGGGTGACAATCTATTAATGGGTCACAAAGTCAACTTAGTGGATCATGGTGAGCATCTTAAAAAATGAACTAGAAGCAGCATACGGAGGCAGACTGGAGAATAGTGAAGATGCCCCCACATTGTGGTCAGTCTTCTGGAGCTAGAATTTCCATATCTTGGACTCTCCAAATCTCTGTTACTTGCATTATTTGTACTTTGTTATTTGAAACTTGATACAGATCAGTGGTTATAGCTGTGGGTTCTGGAGTATGGGTTCAAATGTTGACTGCTACTCAGGCTGTGTGATATAGGATACTTGACTCAGTCTACTGCACCCTGCTTGCTTTGTGTAAAATGGAGATAATAGCTCTTACCTCATCTAGTTGCAAGGATTAAATGAGATACTGCAGTGCTTGGCACCTATAAATGCTCAATAAATACTATCCATTATATCTCGTTCTCTTTTATTTTCCTCTAGTATTAAGTTTCAGCTTTTTTCAGTTTGCGAAGCAGGACCAAGGGAAGAGTTATGGAGTAGAGGTCTATGGAAGCCAGCTTACTAGGGGCAGCAGATAACAAAGTGAAAGAACCACTAGAGGAAATTGAAGTCCTAAGGGTCAGAGCAGAGGTCCTTAGTTCTTCCATTGCTAACTTGAACGTCCAGGATTTTATTTTCTTAAATAAAGAAAATACTCTTACAGTTCCTCTAATATCAACACACTTTAATCCTAGCCCCTGGTTACTTACCTAGATCAAATTTTAGTTTAGTATAGAAACTAGACTAAATCTGATTGTGTATTTACCTACAAATTTCTACTTGACATTTCCTGAGGTTCCTCTCTTTTTTGGGGTACCCTTTCTCTTGCCAATCTTTTGTTGGCCACGTTACTTCTTTGTTGCATCTAGCACTATAGGAGATTTTTTGTTTTGGGAGAAATCTTGGGAGAAAAAAATAATGAATAATAAATGAGAAGAAAAGGTTTTCAATGATACCATCTTATAAAGGCCAAAGTATCCTATATTAAAAACATTTAATGCATTTAGTGTATACTTCTTAAATATTTTCAACCCTCCCCCCCACAAAAAAAGTGACAAATGACATTTTCTTGTGGGATAGGACAGTCCCAGAGTTATGTTGACCCCAAGAAGGAATATACCTGCCAAAAAAGGACTCCTTATAGTTAAACAGGGCCCAAACTCATCATCAAAGAGAGTGGTCATTGTCTGGAGAGGCCTCTCAGGTATAGTGCATATCAAAAAAAGCCACAGATTGAGCTGTTCAGCTAACTATACTGAGCTCCTGCTGGCTGAGTTGAACCTTATAAAGGAGTGCCTAGAACTGTATTTATACCAGTGGAAGGAGACCTGTCTCATCCAATCAGAGCTGCACAGCTACCTTCTGGTTTGCACCTTTACTGACCAGAGAAGCTCTACAACTACTAATCAGGATGTCCTGCTTAAACCAATCAAACTGTGCACATTTGGATTCCTCATTTGCATAAAAATGGACCAATCAGGGACCATGGCAGTGAACATTTTTGGTTTCCCTGGAGGCTGTGTTTCCTGGGTTTGCAAACTGTTTACCTGAATAAAGTTTCTCCTTTCACTGCACTCCAGATTGGGAACTCCTATTGGCACTGACCTTGGTTGACAAGTATATCTAGAAACTCATTGAAAAAGAAATCTAATTTTTGGAATGACATACATAAAACACGTTATAAATCTGTAAATAATGTAACAATTTAGAAGTTTCTTAAAATTCTTGATTTGCAAAGAAAAATGTTATTTTAAAAGTATGCAGAATTTTTAAAAAGTGCTATTTTTTCTATAACTGCTCCACAGAACAAAACCTTATTATGGTTAACATTATTATGTATAAGCTTCAAAAATTACTTATATCAGTTGATAATGATCATTAAAACATCATACGAAATTGAGATAAAATGAACAAATACTTTAATATGAAAACTTTTGAAAACTAATTAGATTTTTTCTGAGTAATACATGTTTATTTTTAACCAGCTCACATGTTGAGTTAAAGGCTAACATTCCCATCATCATTCTTTCCTATGAATTTCACTGTAATATTTTCAATGAGTGTGTAAAGGAACCATTGTTTCGGGTTTTATTTACACTGGATATGCCTGGCAAAATCCCAGGTCTAATCATTTGTCATGATTCCAAGCAAGTGTTTGAAAGTGTCCTTGCTACCTTCAATTTAGGGTCTATTTCCAAGGCCTATTTTTCCCATGTAATTTATTTTCCCCCAAGACAGATTTGTCCCAGCCACTTCTTACCATTTATTATTTTCTGCTTATACTACTACTCTAGGAATTCTACATTACATAAATAAGCTGCTACTTTATTGTCAGTTCTTGGCGCCTACCTTTTTCCTTCTACTGAGCTCTCTTTTAACCAGAGCTCCTCGTTTGTAAAATTATAAAAGAGCAGAAACCCACGGTTGGGGACAGAAAGATGTCACATGAGTGGGAAGTGGTGGAAGGTTGACACTAGCGAAGACGTGTACATATTTGTTTACACAGGTCACCATTTTTAAATTTAGTGGAGGTTGAACCAAAACGGGAAATCCAGTAAAAGGTGGAGAGTCTACGATCTCAAAGGGAAAAGCTAGAAGTGGCTACAGGACAGGGCGGGGTAGGTGGGCGCTCGCCTGAACAGCTAGCGGGAGCCGGAAGGGCGGACTCCAGTGGGCAGGGCCGAGTCGGGGCGGGTCTGGTTTGAGCTAAGCTCAGGGCGGGGCTAGGGGCGGAGCTAGGGGCGGGGGCGAGGGCCCGTGGGAGCTCCGTCCCCTCCCGAGAGGGACCCGCAGGCACCTGATGCGGAGCAAATGCCTATTTCCACACGTGGAGAACTTTTAACAACACGTGAGAAAAGGACAGCAGTGCCTGTGGAAAATATGCCTCACAACTCTGGCGTCCTACCCAAATTCCGTGACTAACAACTTATTTGCTGTGTTCCCCAGGGTCTTGGACCCTTTCTATTGATATCCCACACTCGGATCACAAGCTTTGAGCGAAGCTACCTCTGGCAGCCTCTACCCTAGACTTGTGAACCCGCGAACCCCACCAGCAGGTGGCCACGCAAGCAGTCTGCGCCTGCGCCCCGAACTCCACGACGGGGGCGGGGCCCTGAGGAAAGGGGCGTGTCTTCCGCTGGCGCGCTGGGGGTGGAGCCGTGGGGGCTGAGCTGTCCCGCTACCCACGGGTTGACCTTCCCGAACGCCGGGTCCCGTGACGTCACCTCGCCGTGACGCGCACGCTGTAGGAAAACTGTAAGTTTCGGAGCATTCCTGCAGCAACCCGGGCCTGCGGGGCTCGCCCTGCTGCTCGTCTTCCCGGTGTTGGTAGTGGCTGTGGGTTGTTAGATCCTGGTGCGACTGGGGGAGCCGCGAACCTGGTTAAGGGACAGGTGCCCGCCCAGAGCGGGAAGGCGCCCTTTGGGGTGGGAGGGCCAGGAGAGCCTGGAGCAAAGGGAGGCGAGGCCGCACCCTGCTGGGCAGGACCCCACCCTTACTTCGAGGGCCTACAGGGCTTTAGGAGCCTGGGAGCCAGGTCAACGAAGGGGAAAGGTCTAAATGAGAATCTCCTTTTTTTCTTATTGAAGAAGGGAGTTGGAGTCCCTTCAACCGAGAAGTTTGACATTGTTAAGTCTGGGCTAGAAGATTCCTTGAGATAGTCCATATCCAGGCTTCTTTTGACATACCCCGTTACCAGGTCGCTAAAGAGAACTTATAAAGATAACCATTTGCTGCCTCAGTTTCCTTTTTTCTGTAAAATGGCGGTAAAGCAGACCCTGGCTTTCCTAATTGTCATTCCCACAGGAATGGGAATTGTGAGAGCAAGTGAGGTAATACAAACATGTAAACTCGCTGGAAGAAAGCTTATAAAGACAATTGGTTATTTTGAGAATGTGATGGCCAATGGCCATTTGACAGAAATCTTGTAGATAATGACCTTTTAACAATTTTGCCTCATCACCTTGCCCCCCACCAAAATTTGATCACATACAACAATTGAGCCTGATAGGCGATCTGAACTATTGTCGCCGAACTTGGTGGAACAGGGATCAAGAAATAACTGGTACCATTATCATAACGATCTTGACAATTTTCAGGTTCCCCTTTGTCTGGGTTTTGCAGAGAAAGCTTTTAGAGTGTTGAAAATAGTACATTATACTCAGTACAGTACACCGTAAGTTTTAGGGATTTAGCTGTGTAAACTTAGAATATATGATCATCATATGTGACTGCTTGAATTTTTTGGCTTGCCAAGGGTTAATACATTATTGATGGGTTTGTACTTTACTTTCCAAATTCAAGGACAGGTATTTGTTAGGAACTTCGAAGGGAAGAATACTGTACACATCTCAGGAGATAGATCACATTTCTGTAAATTTAGTTCAAGGGTGTAATATCCTTCCATTTGAGTTTGAGAAGGCTTAGAAAGCAGGGGTCCTAATATTTGTCTTGTCAGTTGCTAACTGTGTGTCTAAAAACAAGTCATCCCAAACTTGACATTTTTTTTCTCTTTAAAATCAGAGATGATGGTATATCTACTGTTGCTTTTTCAAGGATCAAATGAGATGGTGAGTGTGAAAATGAAAGGCTAAGTAAGAAATTTGCATTGGTCTCCTAGTCTGGAGAAGAGAAATAACATGTGTGCATTCAAAGTCAGGTTCTGAGTCAGAACTAGAACTAGAGCAGCAAGCATGACAAAATCTCCAACCTAGTGAAGCTCCTGTTTTAGTGGGGAAACAAGCAACAAAGTAGAAGTACATAATATTACTTCAAATAGTGGTACAGCCAGTGATGCAAAGGGAGATAAGAAAACAACAGATAGTGGGGAACAGGGATGGTTATTTTTAGACAGAACCTATCAGGGAAGGCCTTTCAACGGAGTTGACAGATGAGTCAAAGTGGAGGATGAGCTGGAGGTGGGACATTTCAGGGAGGAATAATAACAGTAGTAAACACTTACATAGAGCTTATATGTGAGGCACTCTTCAAAACACAATTTTTACAATCACCTTATGAAGTAAGTACTCATATTCCCATTTTTTATAGATCAGGTAATGACACAGGAAGATTAAGAATTTGCTCAAAGATGCACAGCTAAAATGTGATAGAGAAAGTATTTGAATTTGGGCAGTCCGACCTCAGTCCAAACAACAATGCTCTACTGCCTTACAGTAGGAACAACGATGGAACAATGCTCTGAGGTGGAAACAAGCCTGAGGGGCCAAGGCATATACAGGTAACTGTGGAGCACACAGCAAGGAAGGAGGAAAGCAGTGGCAGATGATGCTGGGGGGCCAGGCAGACTGTTCTAAGCGTGGTGGAAACCATTGGAAGGTTTGTATCAAGGGAAAGTTACTGGATGGAGAATTAACTGTAGGGTCAGGGAGTGGGGACTACTGAAGACAGGAAGATAGGAAATTATTGCTGTACTTGGTGGTATCTTGGGCTAGGGGAGGTAGTTGTAGAGATGGTAGGAAGTAGTCAAATTCATGACATACTTTTGAAGGTAGCTGCTGGTGTGGACTTACTAATGCAGTAATGAAACCTAAAATTCTTAGGTTTGAGGCTGGAACAATGGTCAGGTAGTGGTGCTGTTTACTGAGAAGGGCGAAAGGGGTTTGAGAAGAAAGTTATGAATTTGTTTTGGACAAGTTTCAGATGTCTGGTAGACTTAGGAATACTAGTAGTGGTTCTACTACTAATAGCACTATGTAAGCATACACTGTGTGGTAGGCAGTGTTTGAAGCACTTTTACATATAAATTCTTTGAATCCTAATAACAGTTGTTATGAACCAGTATGCTCTCCATTTTACAAATGAGAAAACAGGCACAGAGAGCTTAAAAATGATTTGCCTAAAGTCACCCAGATTGTGAGTGATGGAGCTGGTATTCAAACCCAAGAAGTCTGGCTTAGAGTCCATGCAGTTAATCCCTGTAACTACCTCCATGTTGACATATTAATAGGCAGTTGGAGATATAAATATAGAACTCGGGAATGGCCAGGGCTGGAGAGACACAATTTTATATCTGAAGAGGAAGACTGTTTGTTCATCATCGAAGCTTTGGTTGGCAATGGGGAAAAAACATAGGCAGTGGGGCTGTGTTAACTGATCTTTCTTTACTTGATTCTGTTCTTGCAGCCAATGTTCAATATCCCTCTTCTATGAGATTCCACAAGGGTGAGGTCTTTATCTCTTTTACTACTTTACCACCAGTCCCTAATCCAATGCCTGCCATGTAGTAGATGTTAGGAATTACTTTATATGCAGGGCATTTAGTTAGGTTTTGGGAGTTCAGAGATGAATAAAACAGCAGTCTTCCTGGAGGAGCTGAGTATGAGGAAAGACCTAAGGGAATAAAACTAGAGTAGACTAACTGCATAAATACATGCTGATTAGTTCATTCTGGCCTTCCGTAGCCCCCTCCACCCCATATACTTAAGGAATAGGGCATGAAGGGGTCAAAGAAGCAAAAGAATGTCTAAGCAAATGCAGGATGAATTTGAGGCTTCCCTAGTCATTTTTGACAAAAGAATTCCTCAAAACCTTGCATATTTTTACTCTACTTACATTAGTTTTATTTGGCCGTGATACGATTTTTACCAAATGAAATATATTCAGGTATTTGAATATCATTGCGGAGTGATGAGTTTTTCCAGTACCATTACTTCAGTGTTGACATGGCTCACTAGCGAAATAAGGGAGTTGGCCTGCAGAGCTGCGGCTTGCATAATAGAGGGTGATGGAGGGGCTGTGTGAAGTGTTTAGGCACGGCTCCACCAGTTGAAGTCTTTCACACCTAAGTTCCACATAATGAAATGTTTGAGAAATTAGATTTTATGCTTAAATTTAGAGTTTTTTTCTTACAATATACAAAATTATATTTTGTTTAGCTTTTTTAGCTTTCAGTGAGACAGATCATCCGAATAACCAAATCCACCAATAACTCTATAAACAGGAGCCTTCCACAAATATAGGTAGAGACGATGTGCCATCTCATTTTGCAGTTCACAAAATTTTAAATCTACTATTGTAGCTTCCCTAAAGTTAATGGAGCTGAAATGATTAGTATTTCTTTGTGTCACAATTGCAGTTAGCTTCCTTATATCTAATGATATAAAGTAGAATTCCATCTTAAATGGCCTGCTGACTGCTCAGGCTTGGTCACTTTGTAAGTTCAGGCTCAGTGAAGGCAGACTGATAGTTACTTCATCGTGTCAGCTCCCAGCAGAGCAGGAGGGACAGGAAGTCCACCTATTGGAAGACAACAGAAGCCACTCCTTCTAACACTGACCCATATGAAATAGAGAATCACATGAAATATGAAAAATAACATAAAAGCCAAATTCCTTTTAAAATTTATATTACATAAACAAATTTAAAAACTACTACCTTATATTAAAAGTACAACTGTAAATATATGGAAACTGTTTCTTGTAGAGATCCATGTGTCTGACCCAATGATAGCATTTAGTGGCACTAAACATAATTTTTAAAATTCCACTTCTGTGGTTTCTTTTATTTTTGTGTATTACCTAAAAATTTATATATATATATATATCTGCAGTAGTAGCTGAATACTAGTTTGTATATTTTTATTTAACATTGTTTGAATATATTTAAGTAGCACTTCATTTTGATTAATTCCATATTTGATTGCTTAGAGTTTAAAATTTTGAGACTTGATTTTCTTTTTATGACATAGGTGGAGAAGAAGCTTTTGTGGCACGTTAACGAAGTTGTTTCCCCAAGAGAATACCCAAGGAGAAAATTCTTAGAGAGAATTAAGGAAAAACAGCATGTTGATGGAAGGGATAATTTAGCCATAACTCCCTACTATATCTTTAATTCTTAAGATGTTACTATCCTATAGGCAGCATTCTTTTATTCGTTTTTATATTGGAAAACTGCTAGTTTCAAGCTGCATTCTAAGCCACCAATCTGTAGAGAAATAAATGTGAGATAAATATTGGAAAATAGTCCTGGGATTTAGCTCAGTGGATCTCAACTGTGGATGATTTGTCTTCTCCCCAACTCACTCTGGGGACATTTGGTAATGACTGGCCACAATTTTGATTTTCACAACTGTGTGTGGCGGGGGGCGCACTATTCCTGGCATCTAGTTGGTGGGGCCAGGAATTCTCTTAAATATCTTACAATGCACAGGACAACCCCAACAGCAAAAAATTACCTAATTCAAAATGTCTATACTGCTGGTGTTGAGAAACCCTGCAATGTATAACTCCCTCCCCTCC